ATACTACAATAATTATCACAAAAATAAAAAATATAAATCACAAAACATCAATTTTCTTAATTATATGAGAAGTTAGATCGTACCGGCGGTCAATTTGGGGTATCGCGCATATTCTAAATAAAAAATACTATCTAGATCTTGAATTGACAAGATTTTGGGACATGTTACTATATACTAACCTTTGAATATTAAAATTTAGGTATTAATTATCTAAATCTTATACACTAGATCCATTTTATTATAAATAAATCACAATTATGCAACAAATTACATGCATCACTTTAAGGTTTAGTAATTATGATTTAGATGATTAGGACCTAGCATTTACACTTATTGAGTGTTAGGCAGAGTATCATATTTCAAAATCTGATTAATTAATTAACTATATAGCTAGCATTTTTTTACTAAAAATTTATTGTATCGTAGATTTACCAAAATCCGATAAAAGTCACCTTGTATTATATAGGGTTAATAACATTTTATGCCCATGTACTATTGCATTTTAACAAACGTGCCCATGTACTATGATTTTGTACAAACATGCCCATGTTCTATTACGACGTAACAAAAATGTCCTTCTGTCGGAAAATCAGTTTTCTCTCCGACTGGAAATTACCCAAATACCCCTTTGACTAATATTAAAATTTCACTTTAATTTACGGTCGAATTTAGAAAGGCAAAAAGGAGCCCCATAATACGCTGACTCCCCATTTTCTCCTCTCACCGGTTAGCAGTCGATCATCGGCCGGTGTCGTCTTCACTACCGGCGTGATCCAACTCTGCCGACGTCCACCAACTCGTTCATCTCTCATCCGCTGAACCTCTCATCTAGCTCCGTTGGCGGAAGCCAGTATCTTCTTCGACAACTAGCATCTTCTCCTGAGTTCATCGTCCTTTCCTCTAGCGATGTTGCTGGCAGCATAAGCCTTGGCGAAAATGGCGACTCAGCCCGTCGAAGTTAATTCCACCAATAACCTCTGAGGTGCGGCTGCAACAATTTTATTCTTAAACCCTAATTTATACTAAGAGGACAAAAGGAGGAAATAAATATTGTTCTTTCCTGGACCATGTACAAAACATAGATGGACAATGAATTAATAATGAAGTTGGGGAAAGCAATTGAGGACAGATCTTTGGAGGAACGTTTGGGACCAGGAAGCATCTGGGTCCCTGTTCGGGTGGAGGGAGCGGTAGGTCCGCCGGAGGGAGAAGTTCGATCGGCGGAGGGAGTAGCTGGTGTGGTGGATGAGATGATGAACGAGAGTTGGTGGATGCTGGCATAGTTGGATCATACCGGTGGTGAAGAAGGTGCCGCCCTAGTTGGTGTGGCCGAAGGCCGATGATCCCTTTAAAATTAACTCAGTCGAGGCTCCTTTTTGCCTTTCTTAATTCGGCCGTAATCCCTTCAAGATTAAAATGAAATTTTAATATTAGTCATAGGGGTATTTGGGTAATTTTCAGTCCCATTTAACGGAGAGAGAATGAATTTTTCGACAGAAGGGCATTTTTGTTACATCGTAATAGTACAGGGGCACGTTTGTGCAAAATTATAGTATAGGGGTACGTTTGTTAAAATGCAATAGTACAGGGGTATAAATGCTATTAACCCTATTATATATATACTGATCATAATATTTGATTTAACTATTACCAAAACCAATCCAAACCATGTCTATTTGATTTAAACAATGCAGTCAAAAGCGCGATTCTACCTAAAAGCGGAAAATGGGTAAAATTTTAAAGTATAAAATCAAAGCATAAAAGAGTAAGTTTTTTATGCATATTGTAAAACTAAAAATATGTTGAGTACGACATATACGATGTAAAATATGAGCGCACAGAATTTAATTTTTTTTCAATAAAGATTTCATTCATTCAATCCCGAAAGAGGATGGGTTTACAGCAATGGTGCCACAATAGAAAGGACTGAGATCCAATCCGACGGAAGAGAAAGACAACGTGCATTACGAGCGACCCAATCGACACATTTGTTCACACGACGACTGGTGAAAGAGATATGAATTCATTTACACTGAAGGAGCAACTCTTTCACATGAGAGAGAAGAGCAAAGCACCGCATGTCCAGAGGGATTCATCACCTTCAAGTGCATCCACCAAAATCTTGCATTCCGAAAGGATAACTGAAGGAGAGTTATCAAGGACCGCCATCCGGCACGCTTCAAAAAGTGCAAAGGCCTCAGCCTCAATCGGAGACGAACAAATGACCCTGCCAGCCCTCCCATCACAAATTTGTCCATGGTAATTAGTAATAACTACCCCAAAAGCCGCCTCAGACGAATCATTGTCAAATGACCCGTCGTAGTTGATCCTAATAAGGTCATCACTTGGCGGTGGAATAGATTGTGATGGAGTGTCCCTTGGCTGGTTTGTAGGGATGATAGAGTTACGACAAGGAGAAGGTTCAGAAGCCTCTCAGAAAGCTGTGATTGAGGACAACAATGGGGGCAAATTGCTGCCTCTGAAGATGATATCGTTTTGTGCTTTCCAAATGTTCCACTGGCAAAAGACCTTGAGACGGAGAGAAAGAAGAGTCTTCGCATCTCTTAATGAGAAGAACCATTGCGTGAAATCCAGAGGAGGGGTGCATGACGGAGGATCCTCTCCCAAGTCTCCTTTGCGTGAGGGCAAAGAAAGAGACAGTGGATGAGAGACTCACAATTGACATTGCAAATCTGGCAACAAGGGTAAGGAGCACAATGTCTGTGGTGCAAATTTTCTTTTGTTGCCAGAGCATTGCGGAGGCACCTCCATAAGAAGAAACGAATCTTTGGTGGGAGGTTGAGAGACCAAATCCATTTCCAAGAGTCATCGGCAGATGGAGCATTAAGATCTTGCATGGGTTGATTTCCAAGATACCTGAAGTGTCTCCTCACTCCATGGTAGGCCAATTTCAAAGAAAACCTCCTATTAGTTGTAAACTTCCACACCCATCTGTCTTTGGATTCGATCGGTCCAATCTGAACTTTAGCAATCGCTTCCGCTTCCGAAGGAGAACAATGATTATGGACCAAACTCCAATTCCAATGATGCGAGTCTTCTTCGATCTAGTCACTAACTCTTGAGTGGGACATGATATTAGATGACATTTTGTGGGCTTCAATTGATGGGATCCAAGGGTCCTTATCAAACCATGTATCATCTCTATTACCAATGACACGGATAGTTCCCAAGTCCATCGACTTCCTTGCATCACAGAGGCTGTACCAGATCCATGAGGCGGAGCTCCCCTTTTTTGCAGAGCGAAAATCAGAGTCAAGGAAATACAGGCTCCGAAGGAGGCGAGCCCACAAGGATACTAGTACATTCAGAAGCCTCCATCCATGTTTAACAAGCAAAGAAAGGTTAAACATTTGGAAATTACAAAAACCAAGCCCCCCTTCATATTTCGGGTCATTAAGCACTTCCCCTTTCCGCCACGGAATCGATCTTTTGTTCATCGACCCTAACCAGAAGAAGTTCCGAAGAAGAGAATCCATCTTCCTGGTCAAAGATGTAGGGAGGAGAAAAACGCTCATAATGAAGGTCGGGATTGCTTGTATAATTGCCTTGAGAAGAGTCTCTTTACCTGCATGTGACAAAGTGAGACTTTTCCAAGAGGCCCCCTTTTTCTCCATTCGCTCGACGAGGAAAGCGAAAGTCTCCTTCTTCGATCGGTCCCATTATGTGGGAACCCCCTGGTATTTATCATGAATAATGATAGAGGGGAAGCCAAACCGAGAAGTAATTTTGTTCACTCTCCATTTTGTCCCTTAAGACCCAAGATTTTATTAAAATGCCGACGAAAGATCGTAGAGTTGTGGAAGAATTTTGTGTTACGATCACCCTCAACAAGCCACTGAATCCTGGATCTTTGACCCCACATCTTCTTCTCATCTTTCCACAATGCATCCAGTTCAGCAAGGAGACCACGTTCTTCCTCAAGGATATCATCATATCTGAACAAGTGTGTAATGGCCTCGATTCAGATAGTGATCTCCTTCTCCCTTTGGTGTTGGGATTCAATCATGGATCGGCCCCAGCTCCTGAGGTCGTCTTGGCATTTTCGAACACGTTGATCATGGGTGCCCACTATTGCCCATGCCTGCATAACGATCTGATCGCATCTCTCCTTTCCAGCCCATCCATCATCAAACCGGAAGAGCGGGGATTTTCCAGATCCACCAAAATAGAATTCCAGTCTTAACACTCTGTGGTCAGAACCAATATCACTACCAAGGGTGATAGTCCTTTCCGTAAAGCTTTCTCTCCATGAAGGTGTACAAAGGCACAGATCCAGTCTTCCTTTAATGTTTCGATCACCCCCTCTCTTGTTGTTCCAAGTAAAGAAAGGGCCTTGAAAACCCACATCCAAAAGGCCATTATCGAAGATAAACCTTTGTGAAAGGTTCGACGGGCGCTCTCATCAAAGGGCCGCCACCTTGTTTCTCGTAGCTAAATAAAATTGCATTAAGGTCTCCCAACACCACCCAAGGGACATGAACATCATTCCTAATACTAGAAAAATAATCCCAAAAGACCTTCCTCTGATTAACAATTGAGGGGGCATAAACAAAAGTCATAAAAAACCACTACCATAGTTGATAAAAACATCGATAAAATGAGGATCACTATCCAAAAGTTGAAGATCAAATACAGTCGTCCACCACAAAGCAAGACCTCCTGCTGAATCAACCGGATCGACATAATGTTTATTCTGAAAATTGTTTTGGATGCGCTTCTCTTTCATGGTCGTCTCTGAGTTCATTGTTTCCATCAAGAAAACAATAGATGGGCGAATCTTCTTAATCATCCTTTTGAGATGATTTCCAGTCCGGGGTAGCCCAATTCCCCGGCAATTCCAGCTAAGGCAACTCATTTTCCACCGGGTGGCTTATTGCAGGCCACCTGCGCTTCAGTTTTCTCGGGTTCATATTGTTGTTGTTGTACCTTTGTATCTTCTTCCTGTCTTTGAGCCATTTTTCCCATCCCTAGTTTATGCTTGTAGCTCTTAGTTCTTATTCGAGGATTCCTTGGTTTGGCTGAATTGTCACCAGTGGAAAAATAAGGACCTTCAAAGTCGAGTTCCTGGCCCCTGCTTCCTCTTCTTCAGCTCCCTCTGATCCTCCCCTGAAAAAACAACACACTGTTGTTGGCCTTCATCTGCTTGTTTTTTGTTAAAATCCATCTTCTGGTTAATATCAATCATAACTTGGGCTAAGTTTGAGTGATTGGGCTGATTGTTGCTGCAAAGGAGTGAGGCTTGGGCCTGGACCCCTTCCAGAACAGAGTGAGTGTGGTGGGCTTCATGCATTCCAGCCCATTGCCCTTCATTGAGGTCCAGGGACAGGTTGCGTACAATAGAGGGGGAGAAGAGTCGATTGTTGTTTCCTCTAGGGGGAGAAAAAGCAGCTGCCTGGGCCCCATAATAAACCATGTTTTGAGCAGAAAGTGGGCTTTGGAGCCGTTGAGAGTGGGGCCCTGAGACAGACCCGGAGCTTGAAGAAGAATCCCCTCCTAGGAACGGGTGTGGGGTGAACCCCTGCGGTCCTCGGATAGCGAGTCCCCAGCCTCCGTCAGTCGTCGGTGAGGAGGAATCTGCCAGATTAAAGCTGTCGGCTCGCGGCAATCCCCCGCCAGCCACCCAAATTTGATTTTGCACAAAGCCTGGCGAGTTGGAGTTGGACCCTATATCAGCAGTTGGCAGCGTCATGACTCGACCATGGAGTGAAGCGCCCCTCTGGAGGACCTGCCACTCTAGCTTCTACATCAGCAATTCTACGGGGCATTCTTGTTTGTTGTGGTCGTATCTGTCGCAGTAATAGCACAAATAGTAGAGTTTCTCATATCAAAACCCCAACCATTCACGACACCCATTGTTGTTGAAGTAGGAACTTGGGGGAAGAGGGCGGTTGAGATCAACATGGACCAGCACGCGAACGAACTCCATATAGCGCTTAGAGTTCAAGCACCTCATACCAATAACATGGATCTGTTTGAACATTGCCACTGCCGATTGAATATTAGAAACCATCTTTCTGTGTTCTGGGATTCCATGGATTTGGATCCAGAAATCAGCTAGATCAAAGGGAAGATCTTGTGGTCTGATGGATTCATCTCATTGCTTCAATTGAAGCATACACCCTCACACATTCCATGGTCTGCCTACCCAGGCCTTTTCCATCTCAATAGCCGTGCCAAAAGTGAAGATGAAGGTGTTTTTTTCTCTTTGTACCTCATGGACAGTAGGTTCACAAGAATGAGACCATGCTCCATTGATCTTTCCCGAGATAGTCCATAGGTTGATCTCTCTCTTAGTAAAGAGCTTCCCAACCAGGCGCAGACGTGGACCCTCATGGGATTGTGGCTTGAAAAGACTGGGATTTATGTTCTCTGTTTCGACTACTAACAGGCAAAGTGGAGAATGGAAATTTAAGGAATAAGATTTTGCTTGGCTATGGTTTGACAGGGGACTGGAGAAGCTAGATGGGTTAAGTGAGGTAGGGACTCTCTTCTGGTTTCCAGATCTGGTTGCAGGGGAAGAAGAAATGGTAGTAATGGCGAAGGATGAGCTTTTAATGGAGGGTAGCAGGGAGCGTTGGGGCCATTTACTTCTGAAGAGACAATACAGCTCATTGATGGTTGGTTTGCAGAAGATGAAAATCTTCTTCCTCTCCATTAGGATCCCTAAGGAGGTCGAGAAAGCACCTTCATTGAAGGATCCGGATGGTAACCCATATTCGAAGTTTGAAATTTCAGAGAGTTTAGAGTGAGAAAGGGGAATTAGAGAGAGCCATTTTGTGTGTATCATTTACATCATAGCATCTTAATAATAAATTTATAAACATAAATTTATAAACATAAATTTTAACAATAAGCTTCCTTCCCCTTTATGCTAATGAATTTGAGAAGGGCCTAGTTAGTGAATTATATTACTCTATTGAAGCTGAGAATGCATCCAAATATCTTATATGTATCTTTTAATCTCAAATGTATCATATTGTTGGTGATTAATCTTTAAAATAGACTTTTTATAATTAATTTCATGAAAATAATATCCATTAGTGAACTAGATGCGTAAAAGCGTAAAGCGTTTTGGTGAACTAAAAGCGTAAGCTCTTAAACTTTAAAGAGCAATTTTGTTTGATTTAATACACTAAAATTTATATGAAAACAAAAGCGTTTTGATAACTTAAAAACGTAACACCGTAAGATTTTAAATTTTAAACCGCGAGTTTGATATCAAATTTAACTAAGTCACAATCAAACCACAGACTTTTATGGTTGTCCCAAATGCCAAAACGTCACAATCGATGCTTACTGTATATGAATTCCAAGAGGCCAAATGGCATACTAAAATAGAACTGCACCTACTACCGATACCCCTATTGATTTTGGCTCAAGGTTGTCAAACCGGTTTAAGTTATTGAGCCGGTCAAACAAGGAATTTTTGGTTTAGTTTGTCTGATCGGGGTCTGGACGGTTTGAGTTATTTTAGACATTTTCTAAATATATTTATAAATAAGTTAGTAATTAAAAATTTAATAACTGAAATGAAATTTATCTTATATATATCTATAAAAAAACTTATTTTCCAAAAAAATTTAATAACTGAAATAAAATTGATCTCTCGTGCCTGCAGCCAATCAAACATAACACCAGAAGTCTTCTTACAAACATTACTAGACGATTTTTTAAAAGGAATCTGCTTTGTATCTCATGAAAAGTTGAAAATATTTTTGACATGCATGAAATTCTCGTGTATTATGATGGTCCCAATCCAAAAGCATATTCTAAATCATTTATAATCCTTCTTTTACCTTGCTAGAGAAAGCCTAGATACCTCAAACAAACCAATAAAACAAACTAATTTCCCCAAATTGATACAAAAGCTATCCTGCATTCATTCTCTGGACAAATTCCTATTTTTTCGAAAATTAGTCTACGATGCAGTGCAAAACTTCTAAATTATTGAGAACTTACTTCTAGAGATAGACATTTATATAGGAGTGATACATAAACTTTAGTCCTTAGTGGTATTAGAGAACAATAACAGATGAAATGCATGAATTTCTAGTAGCATAGAAAATAGGAAGATGTAGGATACATGAATTTTGAATGAAATAGATGAAGAAGAACTATATGTATTAGTAACACGATATACCAACATTCCTCTTACAATAATCCAACACCAAATCTCATTTATCAATCTAGATAAGACATCTCAAATGACACAAACACATTGAAGACTATTTCGTCGGACTCTATATCCTCAAAATTTGACAAATTCAGCCACAAGAAGGCTTGTGTAAGAATCAACTAAAATGTATTTTCCTCACCATTATCGTAAATCGCAATATGTGCTGATAAATATAGTAGAGCCTTTCATCTATAGCCAACAATGATACTTCTCCTAGGCGCGTGTGTGGCGACTGAGGAGGTCGGCAGTTGGGTCGTTGTCAGGGAGAAGAAGCATTTTAGACTTTTAGTGTTGAAGAGAGTAGGGGTGGAAATCAGTACGATATCGATATTTCAATATCAAATACCGAAATCCCGAATACCGAATTATACCCTGAAATCAATCACAATCTCAATCTCTAAATAATTTTGATATCTCAATCTCAATCCCTAAATATTTTGGTATCCCAATTGGTACCTCGGTATCACAATCGGTATAATCAAATACAAAATTAATTACCTTTGCAATTAATAATTAAGTATATAAATTGGATTTTATTGTTTAATTTAGGACAAAGAGACTAAGCAAAAAGTCTTGAGTTGCCTAGAGCTAACATCTCAAGTTTTTGTAATTGGTAATCATTAATTTGATGAATTTGAGGTTGAGAGACGACTAATACTAGTACCGAATAACAATTGAAACTCAATCCCAATCCCACAAAATAATACGTGTATTCGGTAATACCAAATATAGACAAATTCAGTACGATATTCGGTATATCCCAAATACCGGTACCAAACTTCCAGCCCTAAAAGAGAGTAAAGACGGAAAGAGCAAGCGAGACCACGTCTGAGACGAACAAGTGAACGAGCATGAGCGCGTTAGAAACACCGCCTTTGACTTCTCGTGCGTATTCAGTGGAAGCGAGTGCCAAGACCGTCAGCGGGAACGAGTAAGCCCACCACACAACACTGAACCTTCTCATGGATCTCTTGAACAATGCCGGCCTGCAAACCTGCCTTACGATAAAAAAAAAACAGGCCGACAAACAAATCAACCCACACACCATAAAATGTGTTTTTAAATAGGCTAATACTATAGTGCCGCTGATAAAAATGAGGCATTGGTGCCGCTTTTATTTATTGATCCACGTAAGAATGACGTGGAAGTGGTTAAGTTTATTAGATCCAGCGTAGACCCGATGACCACGAACCAACCCAAACGACCGTCTTCCCAAAACGGATGGTGATAAGCAGTTCCGACGAACTTCTCGGTCACTGATTCAATTTCCATTCTCTACCATAAGCATCAACTGAACTCCACTGTGTTCCTCCTCCATTTATTCTGTTGAACTCCACTCACCGTTGGAAGAGTCAAATTCTGAATCTGAAGTTCCTTGGAGGCAGCCCTTTCCCAACAAACTCCAAACGCTTTCAGGTAAATCAGGTCGTGTGTATGTTGAGCAGAGCACTGATTCAGATCGTTTCTCTGTTGAATTTATCTGAGTTTCCTTTTGCCTCTGAAGTGTTAAGTTAGGGATGCAAATGGGAGTCTTGTTTTCAATGTTCTTCTTCTTCGTAGTTCATTAGTCTTTCTATGTGTATCAAGCAACAGAGGTTCTCTGTCCCTGTTCTGCTTCTATTTTTTTTCCTTGTGTTTGTTTTTTGGCTCTTCCCTTTTGTCTGCTCGTTTTTTCTGGGTGAATGGAGATGTTGCCATTAGCAGAACAACAAGGCATTTAGCTGGAATTTTGTCGGTTACGAGCATCTGCATAAAGCCCTGGCATTCTTCGATCAAAATAAGATTGGTTACAAAGAGGAGGAGGAGGAGTTGAGAGAAGCCATTTTTTATGAGGTGGACCTCTGTGGTGAGTTTGTTTGTATTGCCATCATTCAAGGTGTTGTTGATACAGACTGTTCTTGGAAATCATTAGGGATTATAGGTAGTATAGAAAGCAAATAGAGTGATATTAGCAATATTGTTCTTGTGGTTGTTATTGTGTTTGTTCTTCTGTGAGTTTGTCCATAATTCTTTTGTTCAAACATTTGTGTACATATCTCTCTTGAATTGGTTGGTTAGAAAAAAAGGTGTGATGGTTAGAAGCTGAATAATTTACAAGTTTTCAGCCTCATCATCTGTAGTGGTTTGCTGCTCACTACCTGACGTGTTTCTAAGTTCAAAAATTTCACAAGTATGGGGAGGTGATTTTGGAGTCCAGCTGAGGAAAGGGAGGAAGTCTTACATCGTTCTGGGTGTCTACTGGTTAAAGGAAAGCAAAAAGTTTAGCGCTGGTTCTGCGGGTAAATGACATTTGAGTTAAGGAGACAAAGGAAGTAAAGATAGGAAGAGGCTTTGGTTTCGCAAAGCAAGACTTGTTTGATCTGATCTGCTGCTGTTTTTGAACTCTCTTATGGGAAGCCGACCTGAATTGGGTTGCCTGCTATAGTTATGTGTGTCTGTTTTTTTTCTTTTCATATTGTATAGTTTGCAGGTTACAGTTCTCAGGATCTCTCTTTCTAGTGCAGATTCTCTCCAGTGTACAATTCTTTCGAATTCTAGTTCTATCTTAGTTCAGCTCTTTATGCACTTCGAACTAAGATGATCCAAGAGCATTAACAATTGATTTCCAGTTTTATAATTCCCAACAATAAAGATCAGTTCAATAATTTAGATTCCATTTTCATGAAGACTTTCAGTTAAGCATGTATATTAGAGAGTAGATACTAGAAATTGGATCACCCGCGGCAAAGCTCGCCGTTCAGTTTGTTACTTTCACGGAGATTAACGAATGCATATTTTATTTTAAATGATTTAGTGAACATAAAACAATAAAAGGAAGAAAAAAGTTAATACTATGTCTGTCACTTTGAGTTTGGGCCAATATCGGTTTGGGATTTATTTCTGGTCATCGGGTTTGGGCTGGGTTTCCACACCCAATCAATGCCACATCATGTCCAAGTGGACCAATTAGAAATCGCGGCACCGGTGCCGCATTTTTTATAGCGGCACCATAGTATTGGCCTTTTAAATATTGAAGTTCTAGTAGTTGCATGGAGATGGGAAAAAAGGTTAATTTTGTACGGTGCTCAAATAGTCTGTTGTATTGGAAGTCGTTGTGATTCGAAAATGTGACCTTATAATCAAATTAGTTCTGATATCATGTCACGGATTAGTTGATCTCAATAATTTGAGTTTTTGGAACAAAGTTAATTATAAAGAGCCCTTCTAGTGTGCTCTATAGCACCCGTGCTATAAAAAACAAAAAACAAAAGGGGACATGTTGGGAGGTAAACCCGCTAGATGACTGGTCTCACATCATTAATGGCAATCTTGTAAATAATGAATCAATCTATGGAAGTGTAGGTACAAATTACAGTTGTACCATATCATATAGGTACAAGTTTCAGTTATACCATTGAAGAATTTGTTTCACAAAGTGTAGGTACAATTTTGAGTTGTACCATAGAGGGATTTGTGAGAAAGTGTAGGTACAACAAAAAGTTGTACCATAGATATAGGTACAAATTTTTAGTTGTACCATAGAGGGATTTGTGAGAAAGTGTAGGTACAACATAAAGTTGTATCATGGTATAGATACAAGTTTGGGTTGTACCCATAGAAGGATTTTGAGAAAATGTAGGTACAACTTCAGGTTGTACTATTAGTATATGTACTAGTTAGGGTTATATCATAGAAGGATTTTTAGAAAGTGTATGTAAAACATAAGGTTGTACCACAAGTATAGATACAATTTTGAGTTGTACCATAGAGGAATTTGTTAAAAAGTGTAGGTACAACTTAAAGTTGTGCCACAAGCATAGGTACAAGTTTGGGTTGTATCAAAGAAAGATTTTTAGAAAGTGTAGGTACAACATAAGGTTGTACCACAAGTATAGGTACAATTTTGAGTTGTACCATAGAGGGATTTGTTAAAAAGTGTAGGTACAACTCAAAGTTGTACCACAAGTATTGGTACAAGTTTGGGTTGTACCATAGAAGGATTTTTAGAAAGTGTATGTACAACATAAGGTTGTACCACAAGTATAGGTACATTTTTTAGTTGCACCATAGAGGGATTTGTTAAAAAGTGTAGGTACAACTTAAAGTTGTACCACAAGTATAGGTACAAGTTTGGGTTGTACCATAGAAGGATTTTCAGGAAGTGTAGGTACAACATAAGGTTGTACCACAAGTATAGGTACAATTTGAGTTGTACCATAGAGGGATTTGTTAGAAAATGTAGGTACAACTTAAAGTTGTATCACTAGTATAGGTACAAGTTTGGGTGTACCATAAAAGGATTTTTAGAAAGTGTAGGTACAACTTAAGGTTGTACATTAAGTATAGGTACAATTTTGAGTTGTACCATAGAGGGATTTGTAAGAAAGTGTAGGTAAAACTTAAAGTTGTACCACATGTATAGGTACAAGTTTAGGTTGTACTATAGAAGGATTTTAGAAAGTGTAGGTACAACATAAGGTTGTACCACAAGTATAGGTATAATTTGAATTGTACCATAGAGGGATTTGTAAGAAAGTGTAGGTACAACTTTATGTTGTACCATAGTGTATAGGTACAATTTTGAATTGTACCATAGAGGGATTTTTGGGAAACTATAGGTACAACTCTAGAAAGTGTAGGTACATCTTAGTTCCACAATCGTTATTTTGCCAGAATGAGCTGTGAGAAAGTTTGTGTGTTTCAATTTCACGTGAGATTTTGACAGGCGTGAGAATGTCAAGTAGAAGTCGTGAAATTTCCTGGGATAGTGAGAACTGCTCTTTGCATCTCACGGGACATCTCACGGCCATGAGATTTTCCTGAGTAAAGTCAAGTAGGAACAGATCTAGTAACAATACATCATATCATATGAGATACCCTATTAACAAAAAGTAAAACGCAGTCAAAGCATTACATTTTTCTAATAAAACAAGCATCCATAACACTATTAAATTTGTCTAATTAATGCTTAAGTTTAGCTGCATGTAGCCCACACCGGTGCATCATCATATTCAAATTGGAAAACATACAAGCACAAACGCAAACACACATAGCTAAGTACTAAGGACTTTGGTTGGCTCATCTTTACTGCCCCTCTTCCTCGTCAGTGCTCTCATCCTCGTCATTGTTTTCCTGGATTTTCTCATCTTCATTGACGTCACTAGAGTCACTGCCCTCTTCCTCATTGGTCTCTTTGTCCTTTTGATTGTTTTCCTTGTTTTGGTCATCGTCATTGCCCTCGTCGTCCTCTTCACTGTCGTCTTCCTCATTGGTCTCGTTGTCCTCTTGATTTCTTTCCTTGTTTTGGTCATTGTCATTTCCCTCGTCATCCTCTTTACTTCCCTCTTCCTCATTGGTGCCATAGTCCTCTTCACTGCCTTCCTTGTTTTACTCATCGTCATTGCCCTCGTCATCCTCTTCACTTCCCTCTTCATTGCTTTCCTTGGTTGGCTTAGGAGATAGTTCCCAAGGTCTTGGGAATTTTTTGTAGTCAATCCTCAAGGACCTCATGATGTGATGGTTGCATTTGATTATGTAGAGTCGAGCTTCCTTCTCTCGGTCAAGGCGGGAGAGAATGAGTGCATTTTGCTCCATAATTTGGGCATTCTGCCGACCCAATGCCTCCAAATGGGATAAGTATGTGTCGGTGGATGGTCTGGCTTGAGTCATAGTTTGGTGAGGTTGTGCAGGATGTTCCGGAGTCTCCTCGACCATTTTCTCAACAACATGCTCCGATGCGTTTGCCTCATCTGTTGCAAGAGGAGGAGGAGGATGTGGGAGGCCAACAATGCCTAGCACACCATTCTCCTTAACCACCAAACACAGACATGATCAATATCAGAATCATTAGTTACATTTGCTCAATGTTCAAAAGGAACTAGACTAGCAAACAATCCAAAACTTAGCACAAAATCAATCCTATATTGTTAGAATCCCAACTAGTTCTATTGTAGCATTCACTGTGAAAAGGAAAGTGTTGGTTGGAACATTTACCTTTGACACCAAATCTAGATCTGTGGTTGGCTTCTTACCACCCATGTAATGTGAAAAAACATTTAGAATCCATACGTAGTTCTCCGTCGTTTCATCCGCAAGTAAAGCACATGCAAAACCAGTGGTTGCATTGTGATTATTTACACCAATGAATAGAAGAAATGGAAGATTATATGCATTAGTCTTGTACGTCGAGTCAAAAACAAGAACATCTCCAAAGGACTATAATCCAATTGTGAAGTAGAGTCAGCCTATAACATATTGCCTAGTTCGCCACCATTACTTACTGTGTATCTACAATAAAAACGAGGATCGGTAGTTGCCAGTGCTTGTAAGTAGGCAAGTGCAGCTTCACTATCACTATCCAAGATCTCCGACCTCCGATCCGCACTAACAAAATTGTAGACATCGGTCTTAGTGAAACCCAAGTTCTGAAATCTTCCCGCACAATTCACTAGATAATCCATGATTTGATTGGTGCGAACACCAGCAGCCCTAAGTGATCGAATCTGAGCCTTACTTGCGTCATCTACCTTGTGATGAGAACTCAAAAACTGCACTTCATGTGCTCCATCTAAGTGATGAAAATGTGTTGGTACAAACTGCTTCATCTTGAATCGATTAGTTACCTCAACAAAACTGACTTTGAAAGCAGCCGGATAATGGAGCCTTGTTACAGGCCTAGGTTCACGCTTTTTGTTCTCCTTGTCATTGTGCACTGGCTGACGCTCCCCCTCGCGTGAGCAAACCCATCGCTACATATTTTTAACTCCATATTTTGAATATGTGTGAGTGTTCTTTCGTACGCTGAATCCCATGGCACAACCATAAGTTGAATAAAACTTGCCAGCCTCCACAAGGGTTTCAAACTCATAACCCACTACATCATCTGAATCCCATTTAGCATACGGCTTCTCATTCCCGACTTTATCAAGCAGGGTCCAGTCATACATACTCGAGGACGGTGGAGCCTTGGCTGGATTTGCAGCATCTTTGTGTAGAGGTGCATATGAGCTATGTGGATGTGTTTTGAAGCTGTGCAAATGCTCATATGAGATGTTCTCCTTATCATCATCGCCAATGTTAGTGTTATTATCATCCTCAGAATCACTATCGCTGGTGTCGACATTGTCCTCCATATCGTCACTATCTCTAACACCATCGGTATCATCTCCATAATCCATTCCCCAATCTAAACCAACATTCAAGTCAATTCTCGTGTCCTTGCCTGTGCTCATATCATCAATCAACCCTTCCATAGTTGATCAACTGAAAACAACCAACAAAATGAAGTTTAGAGACAATTAAAATCCACATATTCACCATCCACAACCCACTGAATCCAACAGTACACTAATCAATTAACAAGCAATGAAAAGATTTCACGCTAGATTAGAGGCATATGCATATAAGCCGTATAGGTGCCTAGTTCATTTACTAAGAGATGGGGTAAAAATCAATGAAACTAGTATTGCATCATTCATGGTGGTAGTCACAGAAACCAAAAGCAAAAGAATCAAACTGAGTACAAACCCTAAAGAGGACGCAAAAAAAAATTACTAAAGAAGACAGCAAACTCTATTTCGTTACCCTCTATGGAAGCTACTCTTCAATTCCAGAATCAATACAGCTTGAATTTCATCACATTTCGTGAATTCCAGAATTAGTGTAATAGTCATTAGTGTAAAAGTCATATTAGGAGCAGCCACTTAGTAGGAGAAGGGTAATACAACTTGACTTTCATTTGGGATCATAGGAGCAGAACACTTGCTAATTGAATATGCACAAGTTACCTCTAAGTAAGCACACTGATCAATGGCAAGAACTTACAACCAAGAATCACTTAGTGTCAAAAGGAAATTTAGGAACCCAGCAAATCAATCATCCTGTAAAATGAAAGCTATTCGGATACAATGTCTAGTCGTGAAAGAGTTCTATTCTGGTATTCAGACGTAACCATCTCTTCACTAAATGCACTATGTTACCAGACGTCAGAGGTCAAATTTCAAAGGTAAATCCAAGTGCTAACTGAATCTCCTCGTCCAATTTCAAGAAGCTAGTGCAAGATTGATTGCACAGGAACGAACAATCTATAAAAATTACGATGGGCTAGTAGCCGAGACCAAATGTAACCCCTAATTCTTTTCACAATAATGCATAGTGTAGTATTTGACTGGTTGTCCCATTTTCGCATGAGATTTCGCTAGTCAAAGTTAATGGAAACGAAGACTAAGAGAAGAGGGGAAGCAAGCTGAATCAAGGTAGATAAAAACAATAACAAAGGGAACGATAAAAACCCCAAATGAAACCCAGTAGGAGGGAGAGAAGGATACCAACCTGGATTCAGGATTAGAACCAGCGACTTAGTAGGAGAAGGCCGATACAAGGAATTGATTGGCGGAGGGCGATAGCGTATTAGGAGCAGCGACTCAAATAGGAGAAGGTCGAGACGAGGAATTGACCGGCGAAGGCTGGGAAGCGGAATTGACCTACGGGTATGATGACCGTTGACGCTAAAGAAGGAGCAGACGAAGGACGACAATTAAGAACCGAGGCTGGGGAACGAAATCGGTCGAGTGACCTGCAGAGGCTGGGAAACAAGAATTGGCCACCTACATATGGAAGAACAGAGGTAGGATGGAGGGAGGGAAGTAGGAAGGAAGAAGCCGACAGGGAGGAACCGAGGATCAGTCCTCTGGCGCCGACGAAGGACGAGAAGGAAGAAACGACATCATTGTTATGACTTATGACGGTGAGGGTTTAAGATCTAGGAATTTCTTCATTATCTTGGTTAAAAATTAAACCGACCCAAAAAACCATTGGTTTACAATTAGATGGGTTAAACCCAAAACCATAGTCAAACGCTCAGTCAACCATATATCGTAAATCAATCCCACATCGGTTTACAATTAGATGGTTTAAACCCAAAACCATAGTCAAACGCTCAGTCAACCATATATCGTAAATCAATCCCACATCGGTTTACAATTAGATGGGTTATACCCAAAACCATAATCAAACGCTCACTCAACCATATACCCTAAACCAATCTCACATTGTTTTACAATTAGATGGGTGGAACCCAAATCCGTAATCAAACAGTCAATAAACCATATACCCTAAACCAATCTCACTTCGGTTTACAGTTACATGGGTTGAACCCAAAACTGTAATCAAACGCTCACTAAACCATATATCATCAACCAATCTCACATCGGTTCATAAGTAGATGGGTTAAACCCAAAACCATTATCAAACTCTCAATAAACCATATACAGTAAATCGAATCCCACATCGGTTCACAAGTATATGGGTTAAACCGAAAACCATAATCAAACTCTCAATCAACCATATACAGTAAACCGAATCCCACATCGGTTCACAATTAAATGGGTTCAACCCAAAACCATAATCAAACACACTACTCAACCATTTACCCTCAACAATTCTCACATCGGTTAGCAAGTAGATGGGTTAAACCCAAAAACATATACCGTAATCAAACCCAAACCCGTAATCAAACGCTCAATCACTCATATACCGTAAACCCAATCCCACCTCGGTTCACAATTACATGGGTTCAACCCAAAAACATAATCAAACACACTACTCAACCATATATCCTCAACCAATCTCACATCGGTTAACAAGCAGATTGGTTAAACCCAAACCCGTAATCAAACGCTCAATTAACCATATACCGTAAACCCAATTCCACGTCGATTCACAATTACATGGGTTCAACCCAAAACCATAATCAAACACACTACTCAACCATATACCCTCAACCAATCTCACATCGGTTAACAAGTAGATGGGTTAAACCCAAACCCGTAATCAACCGCTCAATCAACCATATATCGTAAACCCAACCCACGTCGGTTCACAATTACATGGGTTCAACCAAAAACCATAATCAAACACACTAGTCAACCATATATCCTCAACCAATCTCACATCAGTTAACAAGTAGATTGGTTAAACCCAATCCAGTAATCAAACGCTCAATCAACCATATACCGTAAACCCAATCCCACATCGGTTCACAATTACATGGGTTTAACCCAAAAACCATAATCAAACACACTACTTAACCATATACCCTCAACCAATCTCACATCGGTTAACAAGTAGATGGGTTAAACCCAAACCCGTAATCAAACGCTCAATCAACCATATACCCTCAACCAACCCCACGTCGGTTCACAATTACATGGGTTCAACCCAAAACCATAATCAAACACTCACTCAACCATATATCCTCAACCAATCTCACATCGGTTAGCAAGTAGATGAGTTAAACCCAAACCCGTAATCAAACGCTCACTCAACCATATACACTCAACCAATCCCACATTGGTTCACAATTAGATGGGTTGAACCCAAAACCATAATCAAACACTCAATCAACCATATACTTAACCTCAATCTCACATCGGTTTACAATTACATGGGTTTAACCCAAAACCATAACCAAACTCACTCAACCATATATTCTCAACCAATCTCACATCGGTTAACAAGTAGATTGGTTAAACCCAAACCCATAATCAAACGCTCACTGAACCATATACCGTAAACCCAATCTCACATCGGTTGACAAGTAGATGGGTTTCAACCCAAACCCGTAATCAAACGCTCAGTAAACCATATGGTAAATTAGGAATAGGTTTTAAAATGCAAACAGACTATGAATTTAGTAAAACATGTTAGGTAGTTTGACTGGTTAATGCGTTGAATTATTATGCTAAGGGCGCGGGTTGGATCCTCGAAAATGGGGTTTTTCATTCACTAACTCACGCCCAAAATCTCATGGGTGTGAGATACACCTTTCAAGGTCGTGAGGTTTCCTGGACTCTAGGGGATGATTTTTTCCTTCTCACGGTTACTCTCACAGTCGTGAGGTTTCCAGCATCGGACCGTGAAAATGACAAGGTTCGATTTTCAACCATTTTTAGGTATATGTCATTCATAACTTCTTCCTTGTCGACACATTAAACATAATATAGAGAAAAGAGAACATCACCGAATAATGCTTTATTCATAACTTCGTTGTAATTTCAACATTTTCCTAAACTTCATTCCACATTAACATTCACTAAACTTCATTCAACATCTACATTTTCCTAAACTTCATTCAACATGCACGTTAACTAAACTCTACATTAACTACTTCACTGTCGACACATGAAACAAAAGAAGCACAACTCTCAATACTCTTTAGACTCTTGGAAGTTATCAATGGTGGAAAAGGCAAAGGCCTTTGAATTTCATTTTTTTATCCAACATAAAGAAGGAGGTTATCTAAATTAGCAACTCATTTGTTGTTGTCTACATGATTCTACAAGAACAAATATAATAGAGGAATAATTATGAGTCCAATATAGAGAAGCGCTCTTGAGTAGGTATACAAAGTATTAACTATGTGAATATAATATATTAGTTATATCGCCAATTTCTTAACTAATTTAATAGGTAAGCGATGTCTGAAATCAAATGAAATCACATAAACCAAACATGCTAAATTTTTTAACTAAATCAAACCAATTATCTAAATTATCCAATCAATCAAACTATGTATATATTATACGACCAATACTGTCACTAAAGAATTATAATAATTAACACAACAACCACTATTTTTCAACGGGTTAATAGCATTGTATGCCCTTCTACTATTACAAGTTGATATTGTCAAAATACTATTACAAGTTAACAAACATGCCCCTCTATTAATTTTTTGCACTTTTATGCTGTTCAACTATCGAACTGTAACAAATGTATCCTTATGTTACTAGTTCCATCAAATTCCATGTAATAAGGCCTGGAAATAACTATATTACCCCCTGTATTATCACTTATATGATTATTTTGTAGCAAAAAATAACTATTAATTCTTTAATAATTTTATTTTTATGCTCTTTTAATTCCCCTACGACTATCGAGGAGAACCCCCGCCCCCTCTACTTCCTTTCTTCTTCGCGTAACCCCGCCATCGTCGCTTCATCTTTGTCCCCACGACTCCGGTGCAAAGCTTTCAGGCAACCTACTGCTACTTCGGCGCCAAGTAGCTCCTCGAGCCCCTAGTCAAACACCCGAAAGTCAAAGCGTCTGTGTCATGACGACCACATCGCAACAAAAACGACTATGACTGTGAGCGAAGAATCAGTAAAACCAGAAACTCATGATTTCACATATATTCGCTTGCTTCTGTTGCTCACAACGAGACTCGGGAAAGGAAATAACCTAGAATCCTTTGATACGAGTTTACTATTTTGCATCCCAGATTCCTTTGATTACTATGAAAACTTAGAGCCCTTCTAGTGTGCTCTATAGCACCCATGCTATAAAAAAAAAAAAAGGTGACCTGTTGAGGAGGTAAACCCACTAAATGACTGGTCCCACATCATTAATGGCAATCTTGTAAATAATGAATCAATATATACAAGTGTAGGTACAAATTAGAGTTGTACCATATCGTATAGGTACAAGTTTCAGCTGTACCATTGAAGAATTTGTTTCACAAAGTGTAGGTACAACTTAAAGTTGTACCATTAGTATAGGTACAATTTTGAGTTGTACCATAAAGGGATTTGTTAGAAAGTGTAGGTACAACTTAAAGTTGTACCATGGTATAGGTACAAGTTTGGGTTGTACCATAAAAGAATTTTGAGAAAGTGTAGGTACAACTTAAGGTTGTACCATTAGTATAGGTACAATTTTTAGTTGTACCATAAAGGGATTTGTTAGAAAGTGTAGGTACAACTTAAAGTTGTACCATGGTATAGGTACAAGTTTGGGTTGTACCATAGAAGGATTTTTAGAAAGTGTAGGTACAACTTAAAGTTGTACCATGGTATAGGTACAAGTTTGGGTTGTACCATAGAAGGATTTTGAGAAAGTGTAGGTACAACTTAAGGTTGTACCATTAGTATAGGTACAATTTTGAGTTGTACCATAAAGAGATTTATTAGAAAGTGTAGGTACAATTTAAAGTTGTACCATTAGTATAGGTACTATTTTGAGTTGTACCATAAAAGGATTTGTTAGAAAGTGTAGGTACAACTTAAAGTTGTACCATGGTATAGGTACAAGTTTGGGTTGTACCATAAAAGAATTTTGAGAAAGTGTAGGTACAACTTAAGGTTGTACCATTAGTATAGGTACAATTTTTAGTTGTACCATAAAGGGATTTGTTAGAAAGTGTAGGTACAACTTAAAGTTGTACCATGGTATAGGTACAAGTTTGGGTTGTACCATAGAAGGATTTGGAGAAAGTGTAGGTACAACTTTTAGTTGTACCATTAGTATAGGTACAATTTTGAGTTATACCATAAAAGGATTTATTAGAAAGTGTAGGTACAACTTAAAGTTGTACCATGGTATAGGTACAAGTTTCCATGATATGTAGATTGTGAGCTGAAGATGCAATTTTGAGGAGTTTGCATTGTTGCTTTTGTAAGGGCTTTTGAGTGGTTTTTGGCCAAAAGGACAATTGGCATCCGGGAAAAGTTATAACTAAATCAAAACAAGCATATTGTTATGCTTTCTATCAATACAAGATTCTTTTGCTTTTCCTTTGTTCCTGTTGTTTGTGGCTGGTTTGCGTGTGCTCTTTTGTTCCGTCTTTAACTTGAATATGGTCTATGCCTTGCCTTTTGCTGCCCTCAATATTTGGTTTCTGGACTGCATTGAACTGTGATATAAAGGAAGGTCATAAGGTGGGTTTGGGTGATATGCCTTGGAATTCGGGTAGACAGATTGGTTCGGTTTGAAATCTATTTAGTGGTTAACCAACAGCAGCTAAGCAGAAACTCAGAGCGAAACAATATGCAACTCTTAAGCCCATTGATCGAACACTGCCATGGCTATCCATGGCACTCTAGTAAATGTAAAGTTTGTGTCTTTCTTCATGGCTTAGAGTAGATGGGCTCTCAATTTGTACAAACACACGTGAAGAAGGCGAACCACCAAAATTTGTACAACAGTCATGTCCTCGTTCTTTATATACTACTATGTGGTTGTTTACAAGATCAAACTACTAACTGTTCTTCCATATCTCCCTCAGAAGGTCGTACCTTACCGGGTTCTGTCCCTCCTTCAGTTTCCAGGCTGCAGGGGATGATGATGAACAAGGCATCAGCTCGGGGAAGATTGAAGCCAGAGGCGATTTCAGCTCGTCGAGCTCATCGTCGCTAGTGTATGCTTTTCTCAGCACGGACGAACCACTTCTCCTGAGCTGGTTTCCGAGCTCTCCAATTGTGGCAGCAACAGAAGCTGATGAAGATGGTAGATAGATTGGAGGAGCTGCAATGCATGGCACAGTCGTTGCCACATGACTTTGCCACTAGAACCATTCCTGAAACCGCACTTCTGGCTGCACTGGCTCTCCTGGCGACTCCAGAGACATTAAGATACATTCTTGAAAGGCGCCTAGCCGGAGCATGCACCTTACTGATGGAGCTTCCATGTTCAGCAACAACAGAGTAAAGTGCAGCCTCAATGGCAGCAGCTTCTCTCAGCTCTCCTTCGAGCACCTTGATCTTGTGCTCCAACTGCTGCATTTTGCCAGCTAAAACAGTGGTGCTGGTGTCCTTCGGAGAGATCTTGGCACTTTTTCTTTCACTAATTCTCATGCTCCCAACACTGTTCTGATCATCTCCAGCACATCAACTTGTTCAGTTTCGGGCAGACTTCTGCTAACACCTCCATTACTCCTACCTGAATCTGATGCAGACCTGACTGATCTCACGTTCTTCAGTCTATCTGGTTTCGTAAAGCTTCCTCTCATTCCAATGTCTGCAGTCAAGGGAAGTCCTTCATCTATGGTTTCAGTGCTTAGTTCACTTCCCTGGTTTTCTCTTTCATTCATGTCTTCACTGCTTCGACTTTCAATTTCTACACCATCTACATATGCTGAACTTCCATGGTCATCACTGCTTCGACTTTCAACAGTCTCCTCTACTATTACATCCGTAGTGTATGACAAAGAGGATTGAAGGCTCTGTTCATTCCTTGGATTTAAGACTGAAGCGGAATCAAGAGACTTCGCCACAGAAGCATGACCGTTGATTGGGCTGCCTGGATCAGAAGATAAATCTACAGAAGATGATGAACGTGAAGAACTCCCCTTCAAACTTTCTTGTGGATTAATATTGTTTTCAAGCCTCAGTTTTGAAGCATTTTGCATGCTCTTGCATGAGCACTCCATTACTATTTGTCACTCCATGTGGTTCATTCTGCAATTCAAATGCCAAGTTATCAGCATCTCTGCTGTATATATATTTATAGCACAAACCCATTTACTATTTGTGATTCCTAGGGACATGTGGAATAACAGTGCCCCAAAAGTGGTCCTGACAAATGAAAGCATGATAACATCTCATTGCATTAAATACAATATATTTACTATGTCACATGATACTAGCATGAATTATTGTGAGAACGGTAATGTAATAATATAAGGTCATTTCTGGGGATCTCCCAACAACTCGAGCCGTTGAAACAAGCTGGTTCTCTACTAACTGAATTGGTAATCCAAATGAAATAACTGTAGCTTACCACAAGATGCAAACATACACATCTTATATACTCCATTTATACATATGTACCTTTTCATGAGCAGGAACTCCGATGTTGCTCATGGAAGAGTGAGATGACACATCATCATCAGTGAAAGTAGAAAGCTCAGCTTCCTCGGCAAACTCTTCATTCATCAACCCCAACACCGAATCGCCACCATTCGTATCAAGCCATACACCTCTAGATAAGCCTCCATCCTGAACTTTAGATCCAGGATGGCCTTTACTAGCTGGCTGGATCTTAATGAACAAAACAGGCTGGATCTTAATGAACAAACGTACTAAAAACTAAAACAATTCTCGATCAACACAAAATTGCGATTTTGACGTTCTGCCACTACTGCAGGTTCATATGATTGTCGTCACAGACGGAAGCGGGATAATGGGACTGGGAGACCTGGGCGTACAGGGGATCGGGATGGCGATCGGGAAACTCGACCTCTATGTAGCGGCGGCGGGGATAAACCCGCAGAGAGTTCTCCTGGTGATGATCGATGTCGGGACCAACAACGAGAAGCTGCTGGGAGACCCATGGTACCTGGGACTGCAGGAGCGGCGGCTCGACGGCGACGAGTACGTCGAGATCATCGACGAGCTTATGGAAGCGATCTTCACTCGCTGGCCGAACGTCATCGTCCAATTCGAAGGGTTCCGCGGCGAATTGGCTCACAAGTTGTTGAACAGATACAGAAACGTCTACAGAATGTTCAACGACGACATCCAGGGCACGGCTGGGGTTGCAATCGCCGGAATTTTAGGAACCCTAAGAGCGAGGAAACGCCCAATTTCCGATTTCCCCAATCAGAAGATCGTCGTCGCCGGCGCGGGAAGTGTAGGAATCGGGTTCCTCAATGCGGTTGGGAAAACGATGGACCGATTTCTGGTACAGAGTACCGGCGGTGAGAAGAGGGTCTCAGATCTGCTTGGAGAGGAGAAGGATAAGAGAATGGGTTTCCAACTTTTTTCACGTACAACCGGTTGTACCGGTTGACCATAAACAAATAAAATACTATATTAATAATCTAAATAAGATCTAATGGCTGATATATTTTGAGCATGATCTAATGGCTGTAAACGTTTTATAGCACCAATACTATAAAGTACACTAAAATACCTCGAAAACTTAATACTTCACTTAATTAGGCTTGAATTCCAAACGAGGAGAATGAAACCCTGCCATTTGATAAATTTTGGGTTGAATTTGTTGGGGTTTGTACTTTGTTCTCGGTCAGACTTGGCATCAAGTTTTGTACAATGAAGGTGAAGGAATAGAGTAAGGAAGAAATATATGGAAAACAAAACAAGGTTAGCGGTGACCATTGAATACGTTTCTTCGGCTTGAGTTGGGTTAAACGCACGGAATTCTATTTGCTGTGATGTTCATGAATGGTTCAGCCAAATCCTGTTTTCCGAAAAAAAAATTCCTAAAGACAGAATAAAACAGGATAGGTGCAGAGACTCGATGGAAGCTGTTCCTGATCGGATCAATAAAATTATGAAAAAATAACTCGATTTGACGGTGGTGGGGGCACACAGAGAAGAAAGAACTGGAGGGGTGGGGTTCTTCTCGAAAGTACATGGGTAATTAAAAGAGTAGAAAAGTAAATAAACTTAATATTTGTTTATAAAATAATTATATAAATTGATAATGAAGGGGGTAATATAGTCATTTCCAGACCTTACTAACGGGAATTTGACGGAAATAGTAACAGAAGGGTACATTTGTTATGGTTCGTAATTAAAGGGTATAAAAGTAAAAAATATAGTAGAGGGGCATGTTTGCCCTTTTTCAACACCCTTAGAATAAAGACACATCACCTCACGTTACCATTGCCAGACTTGATGTCAAAACCGGGCCAGACCGGATAAAACCGAACCGGGCATAAATCCGACTCCGGAAGAATGAAAACGGGCGGGCTGTATGCATCCATTCCGCTTTTATTATTTACTTTTCAGTTTAAAGTAGACAATTGCCTCCTTTTTTGTTTGTTTCCATTTCAATTAACAATTAATAAATGCATCAGACCACCTACTCTATGCCTTTTGAATTTTGACATTTTTTTATTCCCATTTTTACCATTATTTCTTCTTATTTGGGAGTCAAGCTCAAGCACTGGTTTATGACCGATTTTTAGTGCCCGTTAATCATCGGTTATTCGATAAACCTTGAACCTCTCGTTATCCGAACCGATGTTCGGTTCGATTTTGACACCATTGAAAAATAGTATTCACTTATGAGCGAGTTTAGGGCTTTTTAGATACTCGAGCATACGAGTGGAGAAGGCCCGTCATGCCTGCGAATCCCATAGATCCACCATGCCACATCTAGTTTCCTACTGAACCTGGGCCGAACTCATGATCTTGCTCGTATCCACCGGTGGACCCACCACAAAGTTAAGAGCCCATCATAACACAGCCGTCTTCCTTTTTCCAAATCCTATTCGTCTCATTTATTACCTGTTAATTTTCTCTAAATACATACGCCAATGATTGACCTATCAAAATTGATTTATTTTTTCTCCAAACTAAAAATATCACCCTTCATATGTTAAGGAAAATAGCCACTTGATCCACTATAATAGGGTCAAACAAAACTATATTTCCTATCTATCTCTCTATCCACTCCTGTTTTCGATCAATTTATAAATAATAAACCCCAAAAAATGGATAAATAATTGAAACCCCAACAGAATCCCAAAGACAGACAATTAACAAGCCCAGCGGGCCCTCTACTTTGACCAGCCGTTCGGCAGTGGACAGAAAATAGAAGGCCCACCAAAGTCCCCCCTCTTGGGAACAAAAGGCAAAAGGAGTTGTGTTCATGGCTAATGTGGTCGAGCATGATCAAGTGTACATTAGGGGATCAATGGTGATTTGCACGTCTTTTTAATAATATCTTCAACTTTGTAGGCTTTTTTTCTTCTTCCAAATTTTAGAAATTGAGTTGATATTGTATTAGCAAGTATTATACACCTAGACTAGGATTGAGAAGTGGTGCGGCTTGGTCTATATCGAACCTTACATACGATCTATAATTTTGATCGAGAAGATGGAGCATAGAGCAAGAACCAAACCAATATTACACGGAATAGACCATATCACATCTGTGTGCGGACTGGTCCAGTAAGGTATTGACCATGCATGCCAAATTGAGCAAAAAAAAAAAAAAACAAGTTGTTTAGTCGTAATCACACGAAAAATCAAACCAATATAATTTTTTTATTTTTCTATTAAATCATAAATTCCAACATGCATCATTTTGATATCATAAATCCAACTAAATAATAAAAATACAAAGTCAGAGCAACCCAACTTACACCATAACGTCAAGTCAAATGAAAAAAGCATACTATTGAAGTAGAGTACTTTTTCAATCTTGTTAGAAATCAATTTATATTTCGATTAGGGCTAGTCTCCGCTGCTGGACTATCTGCTTTCTTTGATTATTTTGTTGATACAATACCCCATGTTGTCATTAGTCAAAACAGTATCAAGAAGAAGAAAAAAAGAACTTTTGGCTGGAAATGGAAAGCTTCATCAGAATGAGAGACTTACCCGATTCAGCCTCCATTTCTTCTATAATATTTTGGATCCTTTCTTCTATAATGTATCTGAACAATTGGGTTGAGGAATAAAAGCAACAAACACTTACCACTGTAAAAAAAAAAAAGCCTCCATTTCTTCACAAAACCCTCCAATTAATTACTTCTGCTTAAAGGAAAAGGAAGGATATACTGACGCAGAAGACTGATCATGAGCGTGAATACGTGATGTAAAACTGTAACCTTGCTGTTCGATTAGGCTACTAAATGAAGCTCATTTCTTTTCACAAACTGAAGATTAAAGGTTTTACCATTTCTGTCTACTCATTAAAAGAAACTAAAAAAAAAAGACAGACTAGCAAAACTAGGAGACCCATCAAAGCTAAGCTCTAAAAGTTGGTTAATTTGACAGGTTTAAATCTCTGCATATATATAGCTATACCTCCTCCCATTCTTCTCCTTCTTCTGCTTCTGCTTCTGCTACCACGTGCAGCTCTTCTTCTGCTTCTACCTAGCTAGCTAGCCCTTCGATCTCCTTCGATCTCCAGTTCTTCTTCTACTTATTTCCTTAGGGCTACCCTACAAAAAACCCAGATTGGAAAAATCAAGAGGATTGAAGTATAGCCAATAGGAATAGCAGCACTACTAGCTAAATCGAGCGAAAGATAGAGAGGGAGACAGATCAATATAGCGATAGGCACGTGAGAGTAAGAGTCGTTGTATTATATTTGTATCCTTGGCTGGCGACATATGGGCGGGCATTGGCTACCAAACCCTGGCTCTACGTACTAATAATAATAATGCTTAAAGGGAAAACCTAAGTTTTACCCTAATGGCCTATATTAGTTTAAGTACGAAACGTTAGGTCTAGTAATCTATCTATCTAATCTAATCTAATCTACTAACCAATAACCGTCGATGTTTTACTTTTACTCTGTATGAGTGAGTGACTATCATCATATCGCTCACATGCAACGGGCCCCACCCGCATATCGGCCCAGATCCAAATCTATCTATGTAGCCCCCTCGAGGCCCTAAAATTTCCAAGCCCTAGCTATGAAACAGCCAGCCGGCCGGCCGAAGAAACCAAAATTTTGAATTGGGATTGGGAATAGGGTTTTTGGGACCATGCATAAAGATCGATTGTGGTGTTATGTCGTCGGGGGTTACGTATTTTCTTTGACATGTGAACGTATAGCTAGGGCTAGGGTTTTGTTTTGTGTATATGTGGAAGCAAGAGAGAAGGAGCCAAGGAGGTACGTAGTTGGTTTGGAAGATGAACACATGATAGGTTACTTTATATATATAATAACGTGACATTAATTTCTCTATGGCAAAGTATATGCATGGATGAGCCGTGAGTAGTTAGTTAGTTGCTTACAAGTTTCTATATAAGAGGGAGGGGGTCCGGGCTAAGCTAGGGTGAAGGGGTCATGGATGAGTAGTCATTAGAGTGATGGGTCTAGATTGAGGATTCTTGGCGCGCAATTAATGAATATGTGTGGTTAATTTGAAATTGTTTTGCATGGATGAGTTGTTAATAAATGTTGAAACCCTTACAACTTAGTGATAAATTTTAGTATTTCTTTTTTTAATCTTTAACGGACGATTTCTCACTCGTTTTAACTCGGGGGGGGGGGGGGGGGGGGGGGTTGCACAGTTAGATCTGATTAATTGTGTTATTCAAAATTATATCCACTTTGATATTTTTTGGAACAAAAAAATTGGCCAGTTAATAGTTATTACCAGTCTATACCATATGGTATTGATTGTACCATATGGTATTGACTGGTATTAAATAAGAGCATATCATATACTATGAAAAATACCACCCCATACCAGGGTGGTATAGTATGGTATGGAGTTGATAACGAGAGGTATGAAATTTTTTCACCCAGAAAAATTTGAAATCCAATAGATCATGATTAAATCGTTACTTCTGTGCAAAAATTTTCGAAAACGACTAAAAACAAAGGAGATATCATATGGTATGGAGTTGGTAACGAGAGGTTTTTCTCAAAAAATATTGAAAATGGATACCATTTTGTAAAGCACAACGAAATCGTTCCATCTGTGCAAAAAAAATTAAAATCCGAGTTAGAATAAAGAAGATATGATTCGATCAAGAAAACTAGGGAAAATAAATCCCTTTAATTCTCCACCCTTAGATATGCAGCCACTTAAAAGAAGAGTCCAGATTTGGTTACTCATAGTTATGCACCATATCTTGAGCCGAGGTGGAGAACTACCTTGGATGTGGGAAATGGAAAGAAAGGGAAGAGTTTTAGGAAGGAAGTAGGGTTGGACAATCAGTTAGCGGTTAACCAACCGATTACAAACAAAATCGGTCGGTTATCCACTAACCGATAACCGAGATAACCGAAACCCGGTCGGTGTTCGGAGGATGGGTGATATGGTTTTGGTCTTGGGAGTTGTTCGGTTACCCGAAAATCAAGATAATCAAAAGCTTAAGTCCTCTTTCGGTCGGTGGTCG